CAGTTTGCTTTATTAATTTGAATGATTCATTTATAAAGAATTTATTTACTAATTAATTTATTATTTTTGATGTTTTTGAATTATTTTTTACAAAGAAAACACCAAACTTTGTTACTGTTTTGTATGATTTTAAGTTTTATTATAAAAGATCATATAAATAACATGTAATATTAAATTAAGTAAAAGAATTTATAAAATATAACTTCAAGTGAAAGAGAGAATATGAATATTTAAAAATAGATAACATATTGGGGTATTTATTATTAATCTAATTACAAATATAATTCAAGCAATATAATAATGATCACTAATCAAGATTATTATTAAATTAATATTAATATAATGTTAAAATTTTTTGTAATACTAACACTAATATATAATAATACATAAATTATAAAAATTATTAGTTACTATTTTTTATATCACTATCAAATTAAAAAGCTATCAAGAATTTCATGTACTTTTTCTTTTTCAAAAATTTTAATATTATTTTTTGAATTTTTTTGTGTTTTGTCAAATACTTCGCAATTTATTCTGGAAAATTTCTTGAATTCCACTATCTAATTCAACAAGTTGAATATATAATTCTTGTAGTTAAGTATTCATATTTGGATTATTTTTGATATTATAATAATTAAATAACTCTTCTAGTTGTTATTAATGTACTACAATACTCCAAATATGAAATTTAAGAAATTCATATACAAGAGGAAACTTAATTGGCTCTATTATATTAAAATTTGCAAAAGCCTCAAACTCTTTAAAAAAATCTTGTTGTTTTAATACTTTCAATAATTCAAATATATTTAAATTTCTATTGGATAAGTCTTTTTTTAAGAATTTAATATAAGAAATTTCTTGCAAAGTTAATTTTTTTGAAGAATATTAATCAAAAAATATATTTAAGAATACATAAGCAAATTCTGATCCATTTTTTCATCTAATTGACAAATACATAATAATAAGTGAATTCAAGTTTCTATCCATTTGATAAATCTATTTAATGTATTTTTTACTTCAATATGAAGTAATTCACAAAAGTTTTCAAAATCTATTGTGCTCAATTCATGTTCATTATTAGCTAATTAATTCTTCTTCAAATAACTCATAAATATTTTTAGATCACTTTTTAAGTTCATTAATCCATATTAATATTTTATCTGGCATTTTATAAGTATAATTACCTAATAAAAGAGTAATTATCTTATTTGATTGATGGATCTATGGAATTGAATTATATCCAATTAGAAAATTATAAATAAATTCATAAAATTCTTGATTAAATTTGACAAGACATCATAACTAAAGATTAAGTTTTTTATTGATAAGCTATTCAAGAAATATCTGTCATTTTTGTAAATATATTTTTGGAACATTTTTAGTATTTTCAAGTTGTTCAATAAAGAATTGTACAAAGCAAATATGAATTTCATGTCTAGCAAAATATTATTTGACAATTTTGAGTTTATATAACCATTGTTAATGAATATGTTGCTAATATTTGATCATTTCAAAATTGAATAGGATTTTATAAAGTTTTTGTATTATTTTAGATTTTAAATTTAATGAACTGTTTTTATCTGAAAGATTATATTCATTATGAAGATAAAAGACAAGATTGAGTAAATTATATGAATGTTTCTTTAATAATAATCTTTTAACTATATCTAACTTTTCAAATACTGTATTTTTAAAGTTCATTAAAACAATATGTATCACATGTAATCCACAAGAAATTTGAAATAATCCAGATTTTGCTAATAAATTAAATTCAGTAATTCCAGAAGATATATAAGCTATATTATCTGTTAACCAAAAGTGATATTTTTGAGAATTAATTCCTTTGTGTTGGCATATTTCAAATACAGTAGTGAAAATTACTTTAGCATTACAATGTGTCAGGTCTGTTAATTTTGTTACAGTAATTGTAGATTTCTTTTTAATAATGTTTCAGTGAGCAAAGCAAATAATAAATATTTTTGTTTTTTCTCATGTACTTTTATTAGTCATGATTCCATATTCAAAAAATTGTGAAGAATTTTTATTAGGACAATTTTGATCAAAAGATAAAGTTGTCACTTCTTTATTCCATCTTGCCAAAATAGTTGGTGTTATCCATTATTGTAATAATTCTCCAGTTAAGAATTAAAAAACAGCTTTTGTGTATTCAACTGTTGCATAAATTGAAATCTATTCCATTAGTGACTAATTTTACAAATTCTGCACTATATTCTTTGTGATAGTTTGTTAATGATATATTTGAATTGGGTGGATTGAATTCATTTTGCTTTTTGAATAGCAACTTGAATTTTTGAAATTTGTTTTTGTTTTGACTGTTTTGCTCTTACTAATTGCATGAAAAGTGAATGAATTTGAGTACTTGAGATTGCTTTGTTTCTTATTAAATGATAATTTTCTTTTTCCAAAGTTTTAGTTTTAGATTCTAATGTACTAGCAGTATAATCATGTTTATAAAGATCAGAATCAATAAATTCACATGTCTTTTTTTGCAAATAAGTGAAAATTATTTCTCCTTTGTGATTTCCTCAAGAATAAATTATCATTTAAAAGAGAGTAAATACATTAAATACTTGTTAATCAGATAAATTATATATTTATTTAATGATATCATCACATTTTCTTTGAATATGAGTATTTGCTTCACAAAATTGATAAATTTGTTTCATTATAAAGTTAAAATTATTATTATTCAATTGTGTAAGTATAGGAATTAAATGGTTGAGTGTTTCTTGCGAATTATTTTTAATTTCCTGTAATATTTTTTGTTGTTCATATTTTCACATATCTCAGATATGTTTTAGTTGTTCATTTCATGATTTCAATCAACTTATTACAGAATTAAAAGAATAATTATTCTTTAATTAAATGTAATTTAAATGTGAAAGTTGTTGTTTATATTATAAATTATGCTAAATTTAATGATAACAACACATATTTTTATTTTATTTAATAAAATCTTTACATTTATTCTTATGACAAATATTTACAAAAAGCATTATGATTTTATGTTATGTGTAAATATTATTTGATTGTAATTTGCAATTAGCATATATAAATTTTAATATTGTTACTATATAAAGACGCATTCTATAAAGCTTGTTGTTTTTTCAAATTTAGAAAATATAAGATATTACAGGAAAAATTGAAGATGATACAAATTTATTTTTTTGATAATTGTTAATTATACATGCAAATCGAAAAAAAATTATTACAAAAAATCTTAATTAGATGATCATTATTATATGTTTATACTATATTTGTAATTAGACTGATAATAAATATTCCAGTAACATATATTCATTTGTTGATTAGCTAGAATGAGACCAGAAATATTCAAAGTTAATTATATTCTTTTAATAATTGATTTATAAACAAGTTAAATATAATTTTTTTTATTAATTCAATTATATAATATTGACTTTGCTAATATAAACAAAAAATTAAGCTCAAATATTATAAGAAATATAAATTTACTAATATAGATAAGAGATTGTGAATTAAATAATAATAATAACTTTGCAATTATAGATAAATTATAAAAACTAAACATCCAATAAAATTATAAATTAAATTAAATTTTGAACTAAAATTTGAATTAAATTTTGAACTGAAATTTGATAGAAATTCAAATTGAAATTTGAATCAAAAAATTCAAATTCAAATTGAAATTCAAATTGAAATTCAAACTAAATTTCAAACTGAATTTTAAACTGAATTTCAAATACTAATTATCAATATGATTATTTAATAATATTAATTTAAGTATTAATATAATAATATAAAATTAAATACAAAAAATATCAAATTATAACAGTATTGATTTTTGATCTTGAAAGATAAATTATTTCTAATAAATCATTATTATTGACTTGAAAAATAGTTACTTAATAAACTTATTATTTGTATTATAATCTTTAAAAATCTAAAGTAAATACATAAAATTTAGTAAAATTATTAAATATTATTTTAGCTTGTCATAACAAAAATATATATTACCTATCTTTAGTAATAGTTTTAGTCTTTCTTAACATAAAAACTTAGTCTTTCTCATCTTTAAATTAGTAAAAACATGTAAAAAATGCATAAATAACTTAAATTCAACAAAAATGATAACAATATACTCAGAAAGAATTTATTTTATTATGTTTATAAATTAAATTTTGTATTTATTTTTTTAGTAAAAAAGTTTATAGACACATCCCTATACTATATTACTGAAAATTAAAAATAAAACATAGTAAAATTGATATTATTTCTTTATATTAAAATTTATTATTTTATTAATAACTATTTTTTATTTTTATACTAAAGTAAAATGATAACCTATATATATTCTTTCAGAATATTTTAGAAGAATATATATAGATTATCGTCTTTATTTTAATATAAAAATAAAAATAAAATAATATAAAGAAACAATGTCAATTTTATTATGTTTTTTTTTCAATTTCTGGTAATATAGTATAGGGGTGTGTATTTTATAAAATATAAATGTTTAATGACTTTAGATATTAAGTATCATATAACTTTTTCATCTAACTTAATTTCACATTATTCTGTATCTTTTTGTGACAAAACTAAAAATATATTAATGTTTTCAAAAATTCTTTTTTTATAAAATTTTCATTTTCTGTTATAACATGCTAAATGATAATTGTAATTGCAAGCAAAAATCATTCCATCATCTTTACTAAATGAATCTAAATTGGAATATGTAGCCAATAAATAGAACTGTAGTCATGCTCTGGCAAAATAGATTTTCCGAATTATTTACCTTAATGAGAGTATTCATACTTGGATAATCCCCGAAGTTGGTTCCAGGGACCATTATAATAAATTCGCCTCGATAACCGGGTTTACTAAATAAACCTAGTCGGTTTATCAAGTTTGATTACGTGATCAACATAACATCATTAATCTCTAAAAGTCGAGTAAATGAAATAGTAAATCATATAATTTTTAAAACGAAAAGTTTTGAAATGTCGGTCTACGAAGATCCAGCATCAACCGCGCTTTACTCCCAGTACGTAATGGATCAAACGGCTGGTAAATTATCTTTAATAAAAAGATTTTGGATTTTAATTTAGTGGAAGAAATTATTTTGTCTTTCTTTGAAACACTTGCTGCTCGAATAACGTATATAAAATCTGGTTTTCATTCAACTCTCAGCAGCTCACACTAATGGAATGACAGATCAACAGCAGCACTCTACAGAAGAAAATGCTGGTGGTACGCATGTAAAATCAGAAGATGCGTCCGATACCGCAGCAGCACCTCAACAGTCTGATTGGGATCGATATTGGGATATTGTTAAAACAAATCCAGATGTAATTAATTAACAAAAAAAACGATTAACTAAATTTGCAATCAAATTCAAATAAAATATTTTATTCAATTTGTTAGGACTTTGCATCATGGGAATATTTAATTCGACTTGCAGAGACAGCGGAAGGTGGACTAACACCACAATCGCCACCCTCCAATATATCAAACATGCGTATGGTCTACGATCAATTTCTGGCCAAATTTCCTTTGTGTTTCGGTTATTGGAAGAAATACGCTGATCTTGAATTTGTGCTGGAGGGTGCCGCTAATGCCGAAAAGGTTTGCCCGTTCGTTATTGTCTTTTCTAACAGAATTCATAAAATCAATTGTGAAATAATTCAAATTTCCTATTCTCAAAAGATTTATGAACGTGGTGTTGCTGCTATTGCAAATTCAGTTGATTTGTGGACGCAATATTGTGCATTTAAAATCGAACACGCGCAGGATGAAGAATCTATTCGAGGGTAAGCAGCACGTAATCACATTGATGCAAAGTTGCTTTTTTTCGCTTTGGCATATTCGTCTTTTCTTTGTTATTTCGTATATTCCTTTGTGTGCCGTCGAGTATGCTTTCTCTTTTTCTAAATGCAAGACAGCAATAAGATTAAAGAAAAATATGTTGTGTATATGCAAATCAACATATATTGGGTTGTATCCTATAAACAAAACAAAAATTCATGATAATTCTACGGTTTTTGCTGGGGCGTATTCCAGCAATACTCGAGATTGATTGACTAAGGAAGAAAGCTTACTAATTAAGGTGAAGATTATGAGAATGGATCCAGGAAAGAAGTTTCGATTTTTCGACCAGAGAAATTTTCTCCACAATCAATCAATGCAATATATTACCTTTTTCATTCAGCTTAGCTTGGCGATGGGTCTTTAAACAATAAGTTATAGCTTTGTGTTTGTGTGCTGGTGTATTCGTTTTTCTTGTTTTTGCCATCATATTGTTTTTTTTTTGATAATTTACAACGCAGTTTGTTGAAAATTAAAATTTTTTATTGCTTGCTTTTTTTAATTTAGGCTATTTGAACGTGGTGCTGCGTATGTAGGCCTGGATTTTTTAGCACATATCTTTTGGGATAAATATTTAGAATATGAGGAATCTAAAGAAGCATACGATCGTGTATTAAAAATATTGGAACGCATTATACGAATTCCAATGCACCAATATGCTAAATTCTTCGATAAGTGAGTTTCTTTTGTTTTATTCCTCAATTTTCATGCCTTCTAATATATCATCATATTATAATGTTAGATATACGCAATTATGTCCAACACGCCCAGTCACAGAACTTGTTATTCCCGAACAGTATCAACAACTTGAAGCAGAGGCAAGGGCGGCACCACCCGTACCACCTTCTGAAACCACGGACGGTGAACAACCGCCTGCCCCTGCTGAAAAAGTGATGTACTCTCTATAAGTTATGACTGTATTTATTAAGTACTGAACTATAATTATCATATCTTTATAACGATAAACAGACCGAAGAGCAGATTCAGGCAGATGTTCGAATGCGTATTTATAATATGAATGTAGAAATTTATATGAAAACGCAAACTGAAACGAACAAGCGATGGCCATTCGAATCGGAGGTATTTTATCTGGGTTGCCATTGCAATTCTCTTTATTTACGCAATGGTAATTTTTTGATGCATTATAAATCTATTCGTAGATAAAACGACCATACTTTCACGTGAAGCCGATGGATGATGTTCAACTTATAAATTGGCGGAGATATCTTGATTTTGAAGAAACAGAAGGTGATGAAACTCGAATTCAAGTTTTATTCGAAAGATGCTTGGTTGCTTGTGTAAGTTTATTAATCTGAAGTCTATGCATTTCACGAGTCTCTTACTCAGCATCATTGCTCATACCAAATACAGGCTCTATACGATGAATTCTGGCAAAGATACGCGCGATGGATGTTATCAAAGAACAGAATTGACGACGTCAGAAATATTTATCAGAGAGCCACTTCAGTTTATATTCCTATCAGGTATTTATATGTATTAATATAAAGATTTAATTATTTGACTTTGGGATAATTCATACTTTGTATTTTATCATTCAAATAGTCGTCCGTGCATACATTTATCGTTCGCTTGTTTTGAGGAAGAGCAGGTCCGAATTGAAGAATCGAGAGCCATTTACAAACACATCATGGATAATTGTCAGTGTATTGTTCAACTCGATATTCCTTAATGTCAATTATTAATTATAAAGCGATATTTTCGAAATGTAGTGCCAGGACATGTTGAAACGATATCAAAATATGCACATTTTGAAAGACGTCAACATCCTAGCGCCTTAGCTATTCCACTCAACATAATTCAGGATGCGATTAAAAGCGAAGCATTAGCCTCGGACTCGAAGGCTAAGGCTTTTCGAAGTGTGCAGCAAGCTAAATTGCTGTGGCATGTATGTACTAAGAGGATCGACCGAATTATGTAGAATATGAATAATTACAACAGTTTCTTCTTTTATAGAATCAAGGTTCTGTCGAAGAAGCTCGGCGGATATTTCAAGAAGGTTCTACTCAATATTTGGATAGTAAATATTTCTGGCTAAATTATGCTAATTTTGAATTAGCACAGACAGGTAAAAAGAATCATATATTTTGAGGGAGGGAGGGAGGGAGGGAGGGAGGGAAGGGGGGGGGGGAGATTTTTTTACTAATAGATAAATAAATATATCTTCTCGTATTCACTAATTTTAGATCCCGAAGCGGAGGAAAATCTGCATAAATTATTTGAACAGATTCGAAATTCATCACTTAGTTCCGATTCAATACGAGAATTATCACAACGTTATCTCGATTTCATAATGGAGCGCGGATCTTCCATTGCTTTATATAATAAAATTGACGTTGAAGTAAATGGTCCTATCACTGCACGTCCAATTTCAGATCCGAAGAAGCGTGGGCTTGAAGACGAAGAACTCGAAAGAGTAACCAAACAAATGCGGGTCGACGGAGTTGAAAGCCCCGTGAGTGCGAGTCCATCTGCGGTATCCTATGGAGTGACACCAGCAGCACCTGTCGCTTCTACGGCTGCAGCGCAAGCTTCATATTACTCACAGGCACCTTGGGGATATACTGCGGCTGCAGCTGCGAGTGCAGGACAGGTATAAAGATAAAAAATATAATAACTTGTTAATTAGACTAGATAAAATATTATGTTATAGGCTTCTCATTCATCATGATAGTATTTATGATGGTGGTGTTGATGTTATCGTAGTAATAACAATATAACAATGATGGTAGTAGATTCGATGATCATGATGGTAATAATAATATATCTTGATACTTCTAATAGACCTATCAATATCAGTATCCATATACACAACCAGCAACAACTGCATCCACTCCTGGAGCAGCTTCAACAACTACTACCGCTATTCCATGGGATTACACTCAACCAAGTACCACGGGATATTAAATCAGTGTCAGTCGATCAAAATGCACAAAAAAAGCATTGATTTGTTATTTGTTGCTTTCTTACTTTTTCATCAAGCTATTTATTGATTTATTCACAAGCAATTGCGAGATGCGTTAATATTCTAGGAAAGGAAGGGGACGACTACGTAGTAAGATATTAGTCTGGTGCGATCGAATTGTGTTGGTTTATTTGCTCTCGTTTTTTTGTTCTTTCTAGTTCATTTCCTTTCAATGTCTATGTGTCGTTTTCTCTTTTTTGCCTTTTACTTTATAAAAAAAAAAGGCAACTAATGTGTGTTCGTATATATATGAGTATGTGAGAGTAGTAGCTCTTTCTGTGATGAGAGAAAGACGACGCGTAATAATTCTCCAACTCGAATCAAAACCTTTGAGGGGACGACGGGCAAAAAACGGATAATTAGTATCAGTAATCACGTGTAATTATGGTATATATTATTATTATTATTATGTATTCTTTTATTATTTTACTGCAAATCTTTTTTATGTTATTCGTTCGTCCGTCTTTGTGTTTTGTTGTCTTTCATTCCTTTGATCTCGATCTGGATTTTAATATTTATTGTGTGGTGTTTTGATTAATCGATAAATAAAGATTTTTCAAAATATTACAAATTTATATATCAAGAACGCTTGCACGATCCTCCCATGGATTTTCTTAAATGCAAATTCTGCTTCAAATGGGAAAAAATAAAATTATTGTAGAAATTATCTTTATAGATAAAATTTACGCGCGTCTAATCTCGATCACATGGTCACACGTGACTTAACAATCACCGGTGTCATTGAGAAAACTCCAGATGTTATATATATTATCGTTATTCAATAGTTAAAAGAAACATGGTCTTTACTCGCGCTCAAAAACGCACACTCGACTCACCAGAAGAACCACCAAGCAAGCGTAAACCCACTACAAATTTTCCTAGTCTTTTCGAACCTCCTAAAACTCACCTCGACTCGACAGATCTCTTGAAAAACACTGAAATTAACAAACTACTTCTTGAAAAGGCAAATATAAATAACGTGCAACAGCTTGAAAGATATCTTCGTGTAGAGAAGTATGGAAAAGGCGATATGCTCCTGGGTGCCAGAGTACCAGATATCCGGAAAATATCAACTTTGATCGGAGAGTTGAACTTTAATGTATTACGTGAACTTTTGCAAAGTTCAATCCATGAGAAAAGATTACTGGCGTTGGTAAATTTGGTAACGCAATATCAAAAAAATCAAGTGGATCCTAATCTTAATACAACTAACAAGGACAATATATTTAAATTCTATATGGAGATGAGAGAAGGAATTGATAATTGGGATTTAGTTGGTGAGTGAGTGGATGAGCAATAAGTTAAGTTTATTTTTTGGTCGATATTTTATTATAGAATTCACGATATATATATGAATCTTTTGAATTAAGATACCTCTGCTAGTCAAATAGTGGGTGTTCATCTTTATAATAAAAACGAGGATTTTAAAAAGAAATGGATATACGAAACTTTGGCAGTATCACCTCGATTATGGGATCGGAGAATAGCAATTGTAGCAACACGTTATTTCGTAGCACGAAAGAAATTTGACGACACTTTAAAATTGGCAGAGATGTTTATTGAAGATTCCGAGGAACTAGTGCATAAAGCAACTGGTTGGGTTTTAAGAGAGTACGGCGATCAGGTAATTATTATTTTGCAACCATAGTAATGCACGCATATGCCTATAGGACTAAATTTACCTGTTGGCCTTTATTTTAATGTAGGACATGTCAGGATTTTATCAATTTTTAAATAAGAATGCTGCACGTATGCCTCGAATTATGTATGATCAAAGTACTCGAAAGATTCCGGAAACAATGAAATCAAAGTATCGCAAAATGCGTCTTGAAAAAGCAAATAAGGAAAAGAAGCATGAAAACAGTTCGACTTAATGTTGATCCTTGCGTGTATACTTTTAACTTTGTAGGACTGTTATTGTATAATATAACTATTTCACGTTTGATTTGATGATAGAAATTTAAATAATTTAAAGTATATGTAACTGTTTCTGAAAGAAATACATGTATATATAATGGGTGTGAAGAATTTTAATGTTAATAAATTAGATAGTTTATCACATACAATAAATAATACGTGGAAAGAATTGTTAAAGAAATCCTCGAAGAGGGTCGATTGACAATAAATTGTTCTTCCCTGAGTAGCGACTTTGATATTGCAGCATCTAACATAAAGTTAACGCCTATTAACAGTTTATACATGCGTATTCTCTTTTATGTAGTCTTGCTAGCTAATTTCTTCACACGCTTTCGTCTCTATTTTTCAGTAAATTTACAGAAAGCAGTTCATATCAAAAAATTATTACAAGCTAAAGTGGATGGTCTATTATATCGCTAACAAGAAAAAATACCGTTTTCATTATTCGATATGTACTTTATAACACTCCAGATTAAAATCAGCTTTTATTTTAGATTTAATTTCTCATGTAAAAGTAGCGAAATTATATCCAACACTAAAATTCACATTCATTTCCCATTCGTTTTGTCATAGACATGAATAAGTTTAAATTATACAATGATAAAGAAATACACACAACGTTATCATAAAATTACACATTATAATTTACAATACATCGATAATATTATAACCAACACTGTTTCTATTCGTGCCAAACTTGCCTGGTTGTATACGTATAGTTAAGTTACCATCGTTTACCTGGATATCGTGATAATCATTCTCGAGTTCCGCATCATGTAGAAGATGAATCTCTTTATTTTCCGTCGCCTCCAAAAACCCTTCCCTTACTAATTCATCATCTTTTGTCACTTTGACAATATTCGACACTAATGCCTCATAATATCCGAAAACCACTTCCCCGAGACTTTGCTTCAACCATTGTTCATCACCTTGTCCGTTCTTTACGGCGGTGAGGTATAAATCTTCAAAGTCTACTTTAAATTCATAATCTTCGCCGACTGCTTGTTTTAGTTTTTTCTTTAGCGTAGGATTCTTTTTTTCCCATTCGTCACGAATATTCTTTTTTGCTACTAAGGGAAGAACGGAGTCGGGATGATGGAGTTTTTGAATAATATAATAGCCGATGCTGGAATTTGTTCCGTATGATTTCGGGTGTGTTTTTATGTACGAAATACCATTCTCGAATTGAATGTCATTATATTCATTAATTTCTTCCTATTAAATTAAAAAAAAACAATTAAAACTCTGACGGAATTGTTATTTTTAGTAAAAATCACACTTACCAAGAGCACCGGATCATGTTCTAACACGAATTTTCGAGCTGAAGTCAAATTCAAAAATTCTTGACGAACTAATTCATCATTTTTTGTCACCCGTTCGATATTTTGTACAAGTGATTCAAAGTACCGGAATGTGATGGAACCTAGATTTGAATCATAGTAGTCGGTCTGATCCTCATTTTCTTTGACCGCTTGAGTATATATGTCTTCAAAATCAACTTCGAATTGATAATCTTCTCCAAGTGCCTTTTTGAGTTGTTTTTTGAGCGCGGGGATCTTGAGTTCCCATTCATCACGAATATTGACTTTAGCTCTCAAAGAAAGTGCACCATTAGGATCCTTGAATTCATTGACAATATAATAGCCTATGTAGTAAAGGCGATCCAAACAAGTATGTAAGATATTTTCACTATAATAACTGAACAAAAAAGATCATTATTCATTTCTTACCAATACTTGAGTTTGTTCCAACTGCAGTAGGTTTTACTTTGATGTATATAGCACCATCGGTAACCTCAATCGCATTATAATCTTCCAATTCGGGATCGATAACAAAATGAATCTTGCGTGTCTCAGTCAATTTAACAATTTCCTCGCGAATTACCTCATCCTTTTGGGCGACGCGTTTAATGTTCCCCAAAAGAGATTCATAATATCGATACACAATTGAACCAAGATTTGCGGTATAATAATCGTGTTGATCTTCATTCGCTTTAATCGCTTGTGAATAAATATCATCAAAATCGATCACGAAATCGTAATCTTGAGTAAGGGCTTCTTTGATAGTCTTCTTCAAAGAAGGAACATTCACTTCCCATTCATCCCGGATATTTTTCTTTGTTTGAACCGGCAAAACTTCGGTAGTGTCTTTTAATTGATTGACAATGTAATATCCTACATCAGAATTAGTTCCAAATGCGTTGGGACGCGTCTTGATATAAATGCAACCATCAGTAACGTCGATACTATTCAAAAGATATTAATTAATTCCTTGAAATATTTTAAGTGATATCACGTGGAATTTGAAATACCTATTATAATCAGCAAGATCGGCGTCAGTCACGAGCAAAAATTCGCGCTTTTCCGTTAATTTTGTAAAACTTTCTCGAACTAATTCATCCTTTTCGGTGACACGTTTGATATTTCTGACAATTGATTCAAAGTAACGAAACGCAATACTACCCAAATTTTTTGTGTAGTAATCGTTCCGTTCCTCGTCAGCTTTTACGGCATCTGCATGAATAGTAGCGAAATCGACGCTGAATTCGTAATCATGACCAGTGATATCTTTGAGTGTTTTCTTGAGTGCGGGAAGTTTGTTGGTAAATTCGTCACGAATGTCTTTGCGAGCTGCAAGAGATAAACCTTTCGTATTGACAGGCATTTTTTAGTCTAATTGTCGAAGAAACATCGTTAATACATTATTATATAGTCTATTGATTCACAATACCAAAAAGGTAATTCAAATTTTCACCTAAACAAAAATAACGACAGATGGAATTCGGTTATTAAGATCGAAAAATTGAAATAACAAAGAATTTCTTGCAAAAAAATAAGTGTTTTTATATTTGCTTTGACAACAAAACCCATTTTTTATACATGTAAAAATAAAATTCTCTTCGTGTCTGTGTTCCAAGTAATAAATTTAGGTATCATTATTTTATTATTATTTGTCCGCATTTCTGCAATTAATTTCAAATTGTTGTTTTGTGATGAATCCACAATCTACATGTACGTATTACTTTTCTGCGGCTTAATTAATTTGGTCGTACCCAATGTTAAAGTACATGTAATTAAAATACGTATACTGCATGTAGTTTTAATTAAACACTACCGAATTGTTTAATAATTGAAATGTGGCGTTTCTTCATGCAATTGCTTACTTTTTATAGAAATTATTTTGGTTGTATAATTGTGAGATATTATATTTAGATGAATTTTAAGCTGCGAAATCAGGTTCACGTGTTTAAAATAATTATTCCGCTGTAATGTGTCCGAGAATATTGTTCACAAGAATAACAATACTTGTAATCATTGTTGATAAAGGCTGAGTGCAATAGAAACGGCGTAAAATGGGATTAAACGTTTTATAACATAACGATAATGCATCCGGCCTGGTTTACTATAGATTTTATTAGTGAAACTTGATTTTTGTATTAACGTTAAGTTAATGGGAAAAATTCTTTATCAATAAAAAATAAGATAAATGATGCGTTTAAAAACCTGAATCATCATCAATTGTGGGAAATTTTCGATAAACATGTTCCCCAGAAAATCCAATCTTTTTGTATTTTGTGAGTAAGAACAATTGAGAGATTGAATCTGAAATAAGCTTTATATTAGTTGCCAAGAGAAAGGTTTAACATAGTTCTTATAGATTATTATCGAGAGCTGAGTTTTGCCTTGTTTATAAACTTCAATATAACTTGCTTTGAATCACGTAATAATGACTTAAACACACCTTCAAACGATCTTTATTCAAACCAACAGTTACAAACTAGTTTCTTGATGCACATTGAGAAAAATTATTCAAATTATAGAGATCATTGGGTAGAAACTTCTCACGCCAACAAAATAACGCTTCTTCTACTGGCGCAGTCCCACTGTCTGCGACGTTGACTAACTCGTGCTTTTTTTATTCTGAACTAACCCTATTATTTTTTGGCCTTTTTTTAGGTAAAAGGAACAGGATCTACAAAATGTCAAGAAACTGTGTTTTTCATATTAAAACTGAAGATCCAGTCTGTCGATGATTCCTCGTTATGGCGAAATCAAATCGATACCGATACTACTTGTATATGAAGTTGGTTATGCTCTTCTCATCAGTATGGAAAAACTTCAATAACAGATGTATTTTGCGAAGATAATGATCTCAATAAATTAGCAGCAGTGTGCATCTACTACTCCCTGACCAATGCGTCTAAAGATGAATCTTCAAGCGATTTTGGTATTCATTTGCTAACAGTATCATCAGCAGTTTACGACAAGTAATTATAGCATCGAGAATGGAATTACGAAACATTATTTGGACAATTGCAACAATGAAAAAACTTTAGTTATCATCTTAGATAAGATTATTTCAACGTATGCTAATGTAGAGCACCATTTGCATGAACATTCAATAGAAAATTACCTTCAGAATATATGTGAATGCTCAATTTGGATGAATCACAACTACGTACATCATATACCGATACGTATTTCTATTAAGTAAAAGTGTAACGGTATTTTTTTTGACCATTATCGTTACTAAAGTTTCATTTTTATATAATGATATATAATACACAAAATAGTGTTTTAAAATTAAAAAGGTTATCGGCTTCTAATACATCGAAATCACAGCATCAGAACACAGGAAAAGAAAAAATCGAAAGCAATAATAATAATAATAATAATGCAGAGAAAAGTAATGAAGTAGAGAATTTCAAACAAGCTCCAAAAGAAGATTCTGTTACTACTAAACCCTCGATACTCGAGAGAGAGAAATTATCGGCAGATAAGGAGGAGAATTCTGAACCTGAGAAAAATTCACCAAAAATTGACCGATCAAAAAGTTCTTGATAAATGACCCGAAGTTACTCGTGTTTTGAGAATTTCTTTTCGATGATGACGACGACGGTGACGGTGACGGTGAAGAAAAGCACTAGTAGTGATAAGACGAGCGAAAAGAGTCAAGGTGAAACGGTAATTACCCTATGAAAAAGATTTTTACGCTATTTTAACTTTCATATGGTGCATAAACGTTAAAGTCACCAAACGTTTGTATTTTATAAAATGTATACCGTGAATATGCCTTTTTTGAGCATAGTCACGGGTTAAATTTTGTATTTACTTCTTAGTAAAGAAGTTTATACATTTTATAAAATACAAACGTTTGATGACTTTAGATTTTATGCACCATATACACTTGGAACGAATTTTAGATAGGTGCGTACGGAAAGTGTGTCTGGAGTTATACGGAATACTTAAGAAACATGTACGGAATTTGCTGTGCAAAAATACCGTAAACATCTATCCGGAATTCGTTCCAAATTAACTGAAATTTGCATACGGAAAAATTTCAGACGCACTCTTCATAGTGTAAAAGATGAAAAAGCTGAACACTCAAAACTGTCTGATAAAGAGCGCCTAAATAAATTGTATGTTCTGATTATTAATAATTTTAAAAATGATATTTGTTATAATGAGTTTTCTAATTGCTTTTTTGTGATTTTTTGTACTTTTACTAGTGATTAATTGAATCATTCACTCGCTTTTGAATGTATATATTTCGAAAGAACGAGGCACTTTTTTTGCCATAAAAGAATACATTGCGAAAATGAATATTGCTAAATGAAAATAGCGGCTGATAATTCTCGCCAAAGCATTTATCTATTTGTCGAAATATATCGACTAAAATCAAATTCTAACGAAAAATATCAATATGTTCATGTGTGATATGAACCAATTGCGACTTTCCAACCTAAAATCCTTTTACTGTAATAAATAAATAGTCGTATACATATGTCTTTGGTAAATATCTGCAAATTAAATACTCATACTAAGTAGCATTATTGTTTTCACACAAAGAACCAAATAAACGTATACATGAATGCTTCTATGTGTAAGCTTACGATACATAATCCATTCTTTTAGAAAAATTCGATTCTTTTAATTGATCTTTCTTTAATGTCATCTGAAAATTACCTAAAGTGTCATATACCGACCCAAATTCTCTCCAACTGCAATATTTCACAATGGACAAGCAGCAATACGTCAATTGACGCCAGCACAACGGGATGTCACCGAGCATGGTTAGTTTGAGTGGATTCTTTATGACAAGTTTTCGAATTTTGAGTTTCTCACAGCGGACGGATTCGGTTCCATGCAGAAGCAAGAACGTGGTCAATATTTTTGATGCAAATAAAAAAAGATTGTTCATGAAATTACACACAGAAAGTTGTTTTACAGCCTTTCTTTAATTAACGAGGAGATTCTCGAAAAGTTTGTTAGTTTCATTATAACATAAGACTATAAACGCTTAAATATTTTTATATATGCTAAATAAATATCACAAGAGATCCATTGCAAACGTCCACATTTTTGTGCTATAATACTATAAAGATGATTCCATTCAAAACTTTCTCTCCTCCTTGGGAAACCAAAGTATTAGGGCTTCAAAAGGTCTTCAGTTAATTTTGAACCTCGGAATTTCACCGAATGACGGAAAGAAAAAGACACCGACAGAAATTATAAGAGCTATTCTATATACGCCAGAAGTGTTGAAAGGTAATGAGTACACCAAAAGCAGCGGATATTTACTCGTTTGTGGAGTAGAAACAAGCATTTCAACGATTCTTAACGTTAATGTTTGCGACCCGAAGATCGTAAATGGACGTTTACACTGCTAGAAAATAAATTATGGGTAGAAGACACCAATAAGGAGCACTAAACACTAATTTAATTAGGTAGTAAGTAACGAGACTATATAATATTTGTTACAATTATCAAAAGGTTATCACCTTCATTTGCTGAATCGATTGAATTACTAATTACCTACAAAGAACAATGTTCTATAGAGAAATAGAACATTGTCCTGACTGTTTATCATGCTAAGACGAAATACATGTACATTTGATTAGCTAACTTTTGACTTCACTATGAAAGGCTAAGATGCATTTTCAGATTTGAAAATGTCACGTTTTTAATTTCATAAATTATGAATTCTTTCAATAAGTCATAGTCAACAATACTATTACTTCTTCAATGCTGAAACTTCAAGCTTCTCTTAAAACTCTTCTTCAATTGATCGAAATAATACATCAATATTCCTCATTCGTTTGATTATTCATCACAATGAACTTGTTATGTATTATAGACTTTGACTTGGATCCAAATGATTATACAATGTACTTACAATCTAGTAAAACGTTAAATAGAACTACGTTTTATTATGATTATGATTATGATTATGATGATTATGATTATGATTATGATGGTTATTTTATTATGATGAGGTAGTAGTACTTCCATAAGAGGATTGTAATGGACGACCACTCGGTCCAACATTATAGGGAGTAGGCAGCGACTGTTCTTCATGTTGATAGTGCTGAGGATTATGTCCACGACCTTCTTGTACAAGACGTCCATGTTCCGATCTGTATTCTCGTTCTAATTCATAGTCTTCTGGAAGACATGTGATAAGAATATATGCGAATCCTAAAGCTAAAAACTATTTATAATTTATAATAACAGAATTGTATAAGATTAATAAAAAAATCACGCGAATCAAAAGCAAATAAAAAGCAAAACCTGAATGATTGCGAGAATTATTCCCCACACGCCAAGAGTAGTCTGATGATGTTTATAAGAGTAGTATAGACTATCGTAACAAGGAGTTTCATATCCAAACCAAGGACTTTCGACGCACGCGTTCGGTGATCTTTTAGGTACTGCTCGATCAGTCACTTGCTTAAATCCACAGCAAGAATACTGCAAGAGAAGTTTCGTAAATAATCATAGAAAAATAGAATTATATTACAATTTTAACTTTACCTCATCTTCGATATCACGAATAAGTTTAGGATGAGTGTCGTAAGCAGTTTGCCAAGCTTTATCGAGAATTGATTCAATCTGGTACAAAAAGAAATTACGTAACAATTCCTTCACTTACTTAACATATTACGTACATACTTAACTTACATTATGAGAATCAGATAAGGCAATGACTGCCGCAATAACTTGAAGAATAACGAGCAGCAATAAAATGACAAAATACTAATAAAAAAATAAATACGAAATTAACAATTCACACCAAAAAAGAGGCAAACATATAATATCATATCACATACAGAACTCAAAACCGGACGATTTTCCCATACAGCACCGCAACATCCAATAATCGAGATGACAAACACCAACAATCCAATGACAATTGTCGCCAATGGTATGGCGTTCGAGTAAAGACGTACATCCGGGGAATAGATCCCGTATACACCAATACCGACAAGAATTAATCCTACAAGCTGTTAATTAGTTAAAAAGAATGGTGTGCAATTAAATAAGAATGAGAAAACGCGTAAAATTTATTTTCGTGTCTATCGATCAATTCCTTCGTTACTTATAAATCAGAACTCACCAAAGTCAAAGCATTTGTCAGAATAACAAAAGTTCTGGCAGCCGAGACAGAAATCCGGACTGTATTCTGATCCGGCATTTTCTCTTTTAAGATATATTTAAATATATGTTTATATTATAAATACTTTTGGAGGGAATAGATGTAGTTTTTATAATTATTTAGATGATTTAAATCATTCATGTATAAAGAAAAAACAAAATAGCAGAATAACTGGTTAAATAACGTTTTTATTTTGTTTCTTTCGTTACTTTATCAAAATCACATCAAAAAGAAGCATATTAAAATTCTGACGCCAAAAAGTGATATATCCTGATTCATCCAGTAAATCGTAATCGTAATAAAATCCGAGTAAGAGTGTAAATTTTCACATCTTTACATCATCATTGCTTCATGGGCGTTTTTTTAAGCGTGAGATTTTTTTATTATTTGTAACATGAATATCCCCACGTTAATTATCCCGAAACCTCAATAGGTCCCAGTATTTGGGCCTATAAATTGTATTTTTTTTTTCACAAATATTGGATTAAATTTTGTTTTACTTCCTAATTAAGTTATAAAAGAACGGAATTGGTCGGTTTCTTAAAAATGCAAATTCCACTTGTATTTTATTGTTTAGAACTAAATTACATTAATAACTTTACACGTGATAAAAGGGTAATTAAATTTGACTTTTTCGAGTTTAAACTGATTTTTCTTTACAAGGATCATGATTAATAGAATCAGAAATATTGCATAATGAATTTACCAATCTTTGTTTTCATTGGCTAAAATTGATGATCAGTTACTAATCAATGAAAACAAAATTTGGTTTTCATGGTAAATTCACGCAAATCCGTCGTAATGCTATGGTGCATAAAATCTAAAGTCATCAAATGTTTGTATTTTATAAAATTCACGCAAATCCGTCGTAATGCTATGGTGCATAAAATCTAAAGTCATCAAACGTTTGTATTTTATAAAATGTATAAACTTCTTTACTAAGCAGTAGATACAAAATTTAATCCGTGAATATGCTCAGAAAAGACCTATTCTATTATAGTCACGGGTTAAATTTTGTATTTACTTCTTATTAAAGAAGTTTATACATTTT